TAAAGAATTATCAGATCATTACTATCAAAATGAAAGAGGGCTTTTAAGTTCTCTAATACTTAAGAAATCCTTTCAATACAAATATATTAATTGTAGTAATACTCATACTGCAATTACCACTAATAGTGATGATGAAAGGGATGACATTAGTACTAGCAGCACGATCTTTTTAATTTTTTAATTTTTTTTTTTTTTTTTTTCTTGAATTGCATACGATGAGACTATTTATCGTTGGTATAAAGAGGTCACAATTACTTACAATTATCTTATGTGAAACTAATAGTTTGTGTGTGTCAGAAAGTTCGAGAAAATTTCTTTTGAAGTTTAAGCTTGATCAATAAAATAAATGCATCCATTTAATTTCACATCCAATGGTCATGATTAATTGTGACTACGTATACCAAAGATAGTCTCATTGTATACCAAAGATAGATAGTCAAGCACTGTCCCAATAACCAAAGTAGTTGTTATTGTAACTACACTTACCAGTGTTACCAATGCAATAAACGATAGTGATCATGTTGTTGAAAATAAGACTAACAAAGATAACTATATTGTAATCATCATCATAATTAGCAACATTGCTAACACTAAAGCATCATTTAAACTAAACTATGTAGCGATGATATTGATCGTTTGACTAATATTACTAAAAAAAGAGAACCTGGCGAAAAATCCATCCATAGGTTTCGAGTCGTACGGGCCGACTCGATGATTTATTAAAAAAATTTTACTTATTGAATTTAATTATTTAACACATTTAAACAAAAAAAACAAAGTTTTTGTATATTGATATGCATGAAAACATGATTTTAGGGTGAATTAGTCCCAATCCAAATTTTGTGAGGGCTTTGGTCCGGTCACCTATTGTTCTGGTCTGAGTGTTTCAAAAATGGGAAAAGTTTACATACGGATGCAACTATCATGTAGAACTACGGATGCACCTCAAGGGCTTTGGTCCGGTCACCTATTGTTCTGGTCCAAGTGTTTCAAAAATGGAAAAAGTTTACATATGGATGCAACTATCATGTAGAACTACGGATGCACCTCAAAAATCCATTGGAAAAGGTAGTTTTAATGTTGAAAACCTTTTGATTGATCATCTCGACCGCTACGGATGCATTTGTATGCCAACTGCACCCTTAAAAAATTAGTGTCTGTCGTTCAATCCTGAGGTTCCCCCAATCTGATTGAGGCGAATCTGAGTCAAACCAAACTACTTTTAACAAAATAAATTTTAAAAGGAAAAAGTTTACATAAGAATGAGGCTTTAAACAATTATATCAAGGTGCACTTAATAAATTCACTAGAAGAGGTTACTTCGATCATGAGAAACCCTCAATTTGATCATCTTGACCTTAAGATATATGGGCATGAGAAAAAAATAGTTTTCAAATCTTGAAAATAGTGTTTCTTGCTATGTATTATCTAGACTATCAATTTTCAAGATTTTCAAGTGCTCATAGATCTGTTTGATCTACAATTTTTTAATCTTTAAATTTTATAATTAGATATAAAAATAAGTTTATAGTCCATCATAAAGATTTTTTATACTAAAATAATATGTTTCGGCAGTATTTGAAGGTGTGCCTCCCTTTGATCAGCTTACACAAACTGCACCCCTTTTAGAAAGGGTGAAGTTTGTGGAAGGTGCTTCCCTCATACTATACAAATAAGGCACAACTCTGAATTTTGTTGGAAGATATAGTTTCAGTGTCGGAAACCTTACAATAGCGTGAAATTTAAAATTCTAAAATTGGTGTAGATCAAGCAGATTTATAAATACTTGAAAATCTTGAAAACAAACGATCCAGATAATTTATTACAATATGCACTATTTTTAGAAGTTAAAATTCTTTTTTTCCATTTTTAACTATATATCTTGAAGTCGGGATTATCAATTCGAAAGTTTTCCAACTTAAGAGCATTTTCCTCTACTCACACCTTA